CGGTACGTAACGTACGTACGTTAGTAGTAGTACTACTATTATAAGTAAGTAGTACGTATATGTGTGTGTGTGTGTGTGTGTGTGTGTGTGTGTGTGTGTGTGTGTGTGTGTGTGTGTGTGTGTGTGTGTGTGTGTGTGTGTGTGTGTGTGTGTGTGTGTGTGTGTGTCTGTGTGTCTGTGTGTGTCTGAGGATCAATACAGTGGAAAGATATAAGCTGTGAAATAATTACAGCGACACAAAGCTGAGAGAAATTAAACGAGAGGCCCTCGGTGACTATGAGCAGAATTGATAAGCCTATTTACACTGTATCTTTTTGCAGTTGACATATCGTCCCCCAGTATTTAATAATTAATCAGCTAGAAAGAATAGTGAATATTTAATGCCTGGAGAGGTGGTGGTGGTGGTGGGTGAAGGGGTGAGGGGGTGTGTGCGTAAATCCATGATGTTCTTCATTTTCATCTTCATAAGGATGAGGTCATGAGAAAAAGACCAGAGGAACCACCCCCTCCTCCCTAAACTAAATTAATAAAGATAAAACAGATAACAATATAAAGTCTCATTGCCACAGGAGACATGGTCTTTCACTCACGAATTTAAGGAATACTTATTCTAAGTTACATCTTATGTTATGCTATTTCTACCATCTTTATTTATTTTATGCAAATACAAAAAATATGGCTTTTTTCAACATCTGGCAAAAGGAAACAGGATATGAGTATTTTGGCTGCCACATTATTATTTATTTCGATAATGTTGTGCTGTAAATGTCAAAATAATTAAATTAATTCAATATGGAAGCTTTAAATGCCTAGCAAAAATTAAAAAACAATGCATAACAGATGCTGTAAGTGTATGACAGTGTTTGAACCTTAAAAAAAATGCAACCATATGAGCTAGAACCCATTAAATTAAATGTACTATAACACGGACTATTTCCACTTTAGAATACCACAGAATTATATTGTATTGTGAAAAGAAAATGCATCCTTAATTTCTGTTTATTTAAAAAATATTCTTCAGTTTTTTTCTGAAATGAAACGAGTCTAATGGTTATTCCATTAAACGTTTTGAATGGATAATCCCCAATATTTAAGTCTTCAAATCAGCTGTATTAATGCTTTGTCATTACATTTATGAACTGGATTTTTAAATTGCAGCTGGGCAAATTAAAATCAAGTATCAGAAATTAATCAGAATTATTAGTTTTTTGAGAACTATACATAATTATTTAGTTTGTATCTCGAAATTGAAGCAAAAAAGTATCATTATTAATGGCAAACGTGAATGTATAATAATAATAATACAAATACAACCTGTTATCTTCCACTTTTGTATACATGTTAACCTGCCATGTGTTATTACTATTATGACTCATCTTCCTGTTTTCTCAATTGGCTCATAGAAAAGAAAAAAAAATCATTCATCCTCATGAAAAGCCGGGCAACGTCGTTATCCGTCATCCGCTGTAAATGGAGAGTGATGGTCCAATACTGATTCATCAGCATGTCCATGTCAATCCCTCCTCTCGTTCATCACACTGCCCTTCCAGCTAATAAAACTGACTCTGTGTATGCATGAGATGCGTTATAGATTACAAGCTAAAGATAAAATCAGCTTCTCATGTCGAGCTATTAGGCCAAGTTTAATCCTGTACACTTCATCTTTTAAGGGACTGTTTTACGCGTAAATGGCAGAAATTCACACCTGTAAGGCCGTATGCGAAATACACAATAATGCTACTCTGCTTTGGGTTGATTTATTATGAAGTGGATGCAAATGAAACACAATAGGAACATCATGCGTAAATCCATTATGTTTTTCATTTTCATCTTCATGGGGTCATTAGAAAAAGACCAGAGGAACCACCTCCCTCCCACCAAAACTAAATCAATTAAGAGAATAAAAATATATAATAATATAAAAGTGTCATTGCCACAGGAGACTAGCTCTTCACTCACGAATTTAATGAATACTTTTTAAAACGATATTGTTGTATGCAATTTCAAAGCCATATGCAACGAGAAAAAGTATAGCTAATTTAAAATGTGGCAAAGGGAAACAGAAAATAGGCATTGTGGCTGCCAAGTGACGTTATTTTTGATTAATGTGAACCGTACCAGTCAAAATAATTAATTTAATAAAAAATTGAAACTGTAAATGTCTCTCTTTGGGACGATTTATGAATTAGATGCATAGGAAACAACAATCAGACTACAGTTGTTGCAGGATAACGAAGGAAACGATTCTTACATGTTAGTCTGTCCTTGGCTAACAAGGAAACACTTCACTAGGGGCTGTTTTGCACTTGAATGTCAGACATTCAAAACTGTACCGGAAATATATAATAATGCTACTCTGCTTTGGGTTGATTTATTAGGAACGAATTTGAAAGTGCTTGAGAACACACTGTATAATTCTCGGAAACACAAATCAAACTACAGGTGTTGCAGGAGCACAAAGGAAATCCTTTTTTCTACATGTTAGATACAAAAGTATGGAAATAAAAGCAATGCAAAACAGATGCTGTAAGTGTACGGTGTTTGAACTTAAAACAAAAATGAAACCTGAATAACTGTGGGGTTTCTTTCCCTGAGGCAAATGTAAAATATGTGATATTGGGATATATAAATAACCTTTGATCGAGTTGTTACCTGTTAGTCTTTCCTTGGCAAACCTCCTACTGCTCTCCATCCACGGGAAGGTGAAGTTCCCCGCGTTCCCCATCCCCATCCCGGCCATAGAGGCGATGCCGGGTCCGATGCATCCCGGTTGTGTGGAAGGGGGCGGATGCGGCGCTGCTGCTGCTGGCGGCGGCGGAGGAGGCATGGGTCTGTGCGCCGGGACCCGGATCACCCCTCCGGCGCCGCCCGAGTTCACGTTAACGTTCATGTTCATGTTCATACTAACGTTCATGTTCATGTTGACATTGTAGGAGCCGGCCAACCCCGCCGCCATGGAGCAGGCCGGGTTGTACACGCTGTTGTACCCGTTGCTGTAGACATTTGGAGCAAGCGCGTAATCCGGGTCTCCGGTCCGGTTGGGCAGCATGCAGCCGCTGGACTGATCCGAGCTGTTGAGGATCTGGTCGATGCCGAAGCTGATGGGCTCATGCTGCTGCTGGTGCGTTTGGTTCACCTCCTCGATCCCGGTGTGCTCCATAGTTTTTTTATTCGGGGATGTGTTTCAATATCAGTGTAATTTTGTCATATGATAATACACGCCTCGGGAAATGTGTGTGTGCTGCAGTATTTGGTTTTCAAGCATCGACACAGGTCTGTTCTACTCCCAGGAAACCAATAACGTGTCCGGTGCTATCCAAAATCTTGCCATTATTTTTGTCCAGCATTGGGATCGGGTGTTCCCTAAATGAAATGCCTATCCATCGCGCTAAGAAAAAAGCGTATCCATCTTTAACATTGTGCTTCTCCCAGTGAACTACACACAGGGCAGCTTATCAGCAGGAAAACAAAAAGCCAAAATCCTGAGTACTTACAGACACAAATCCGTGCTTTTTTGGAGGGGAAGCAGTTCTCTGGAGAGGCTTGATGCGCTTTGTTCGCCTATTCTGGCAGACACGATCCATACGCAGAGGGCATGGTAGGATACCCAAGCTCGTCGCATGAAAATCAAACCACAGACAAAACAAAACAAACCCAAAGAGGCGAAGAGGAAGCGCTGACCTCGCTGCTGTGGATATTAATTGGAGGTGAGAGCGAAAGATGGCTCTGTTGTGCTGAATGGTGAAGTGCGTTTCAGCAGGTGAGACAACCCTCTGCGTAAAAGCTGCCATTCGGTCATCCCCTCGCATCCCTCCCTTCTTCCCTCCCTCCCTTCCCTCCTCCTTCTCCTCTGTAGGGCAGTTGTTTTTGCTCGGATGTCTTAAAGAAGCCGCAGCTTTCTTTATTTTCTGAAGCTTTCCTGGTGTTAAACGGGAGGTTGTGTGCCTTTTAGCGCTGCTGAAGCTCCGGGTCAAGCTGTTTTCAAACTGGTTCGCCTATACATGGTAGAAATACGGAATACAATCAAAAGAAAAAATAGTTATGTCTAATATTTAATATATTATTTTCAGTTTAATATTCAACGAGAAATATCAGAAAAATATATAAATATATAAGAATCAAAGGAATTGTTTATGTTATTAATTAATTAGTTGTTGTATGTCCTTTGCGAGTTTGGAAATGGGAATTCGGATTATTTATAATTTATTTTTGGGTTCCTTTTCTGAAATGTTTTCCTGTAAGGTTTGCTATTGTTGGGACATTTAAGTGTTTACAAAAATACAAAATAAATAATAATAATGGTATAGCACTTTTCCTGGTGCACACAGACATGAGAGAAAACAACAAAACGAAAAATAATACAAGTGCTAGTTTTGTAAGTTCATTGTGATGCATTGGGTCATAGCCTACATGTAGGCCCCTGGACACATTTTCTATAATAAGATTTAGTTTGGTGACTTTCCACCTGAGAAGGCTCCTGCATTTTGGACACGATTTGTTACAGAACTTGAAATCCGTTTAGAAAGCATCCATTGAACACGGGTATATTTATGTGTGTTCTCACTGTCTGTGCAATTAAACCAGCCACATATTCACCTATCAAGAGTTTCCCAGCACACCAGTTTCCAGAGCACCAATATCCTGATCAATGCTCACTGAGCGAGTATAAAACAAAATGGCTTGCTGCACATCATGCTGCAGAATGGGCCTGAATGGTTCCCCTTCATTTTTAATGGCAGGTTACATAAGTACACTGTGTCCTACAAGATAGTGGAGCAGATTTGTTTGTGTGTGTGTGTGTGTGTGTGTGTGTGTGTGTGTGTGTGTGTGTGTGTGTGTGTGTGTGTGTGTGTGTGTGTGTGTGTGTGTGTGTGTGTGTGTGTGTGTTGAGACTGTGTGTGTGTGTGTGTGTGTGTGTGTGTGTGTGTGTGTGTGTGTGTGTGTCTGGGTGTGTGTGTGTGTGTGTGTGTGTGTGT